AGGAAGCCCCTGCCCCGGGCTTCCTGGAATCAGCCGCTGATCAGTTTCAGCAGTGGCTGAATCTGGACGCCAGTTCCGACTTACATACAGATTCAACTTAAGAACAAAGCTACAGTCCCTATCTTGTACGTAACCCGGGGACTGCCTGTACACTATTACATCCCTACAATAAATGAGATCAAACAAAAACTTGCATACAAATAAACAAATGTATACAATCACGCTTCCACTGAAAACAAGTGAGGGAATATTATTTACCATTCATATCATAGCAGCACCTAGGGGCCCATTCAGAAACAAGGACCTTATTCTGTTCTACAAACACAGAACAAAGAGACCCAGCAGCTTATTTTCAGATATTTTGTTCATTACATAAAGCAATCTCTGGCAGATCTGAATGGGACAAACATTGCCACAGATACAAGGTCTAGAAAACTGCAAGTCCATCTTGTTCACTTAGGCGGCTGAGATCACCCTAGTGCTTAGAAGGACGAAAGCACCCACAATGAACTTAACTCTTATTTACAATATTGTACATAACAAGAAAACTTAATTCCTGAAGTAGAGAGATGGTCACACACTCTGAAGCATAGATATGAAAATTAATTCTGTCATTTTACACAGTTATTAGTATTGTCATAAAATTGTAGGCCTAGGATTCCAGAATAATTGTTATACTAACCTCTGAGTGAACACCAGAGGTGAAATACTGATCCCACTGAAGTCAAAGGGAGCTTTGATTTCAGCAAGGCCAGAATTTCACCTCTAGTTGAGCAAGCAAACTGTGGAAGAGAAATACTTCCATTTATTGCTTTTAGGTTAACTGGGTTTTTAATTTAATTGAATAACTCCTTTTTCTTTTGTTATGGAGACAATCAAAAGGACTGAATGATTAGTTTTCACTATGCTTGTCACAATTTGACAACATAAAGCCAATTCCTCCCAATTCTTCTTGTTTTGTTTAACTAATCCTACCCTTTAGGGGGATTTGCACAAAATTAGATTGTAAACACATGTGCATGCTGAGATTATCCTCACAGCAGAATATCAAACATATGTTTGATTTCAAATTCTTTTGGCTTGCACTGGCTCTCTGTTTGGGGGAAGTTAAGTGGGGGAAGAATGAGAAAAATGTTAGAAACGGCAACTTAAATATTCACCCATTTTAGAGTAGCATTGCAATGCAGGGTGGATATGCACTGCACATGAGAGACTTTTCCTGATGCCCATTTGACACAGACTGATCTCAAAGAAGATAGAGAGGATAAGATTGTTTTCACTTAAAAAATGCTAATCTGTGAGCTTTTCCAAGACATACAGACAAAATGTGGATGGCTTTTACACCTACCTGACTTCTCCAATGATCTCCCCAGCTAAACTCTGCAGGCTGTTCTTCAGCTCCTCCACTTCTCTTCGTAGGTCTATAATGTTTTTCAGCACAAAGTCCAGACGATTCAGCACTTCCACCTGCTCTTCTCGTGTTAAAAGAGATGTGTACGTAATGCCATCACCAGCCTCCAATGGTGCTTGTCTTATAAGCAGAACTAAAGGAGGGAGAAAAAATTAATTAGACATACAGGTGAATGGCAGGAAGACAGGGCCATATGGTCATTTCTGGACAAAGAGGGGAATAAAACAATGTAATAGTGCACTGAAGAAAAAAATACATCAGTGATCATTCCAATTGAGGAGACTGTTTATTTTTAAGCATGTCCCCTTTCCTTTTGCTTGGATAAAACTGTCTATCACAGGCAGGCTTTAAAGCTAAGTTCTCACTAAGAATAAGGTGACATTAATTTTTGAGAATGCCAGGATCACCTCTGGAACCAATTACATACAGATCAGTAAGCCTAACTTTAGTACCAGGAAAACTGATTGAACTATAGTAAAGAACAGAATTGACAGACACATAGATAAATATGATTTGTTTGGAAAAACTTAAACAACAAATCGTTTGGTAGCACATTAAAGACTAACAAAGCATGTAGATGGTATCATGAGATTTCACGACCACAGCCCACTTCTTCAGATGACCAGAGTGTTGGAAGTCCAGAACCAGGAATAACACTCTGGTCATCTGAAGAAGTGGGCTGTGGTCGTGAAATCTCATGATACCATCTACATGCTTTGTTAGTCTTTAAAGTGCTACCAGACTATTAGTTGTTTTTTAAGTTTTTTCTGTTACAGACTAACTCAGCTACCCCTCTGAAACAAATTATTTGTTTGGGAATACACATTTTTTTGTAAAGGGAAATCATGCCTCATTCATGCCTCTATTACATGGGTAGGCAAGAGGCGGCTAAGGGATCCGGCCTGCTAGTCCAAGCCGCCAGATCCAGCCCACGGCTCCCTTGCCTGCACCCTTACTACAGAGCAAGAGCAGCGGCTTTACATAGCAGGCTACTAATTGCTCTGCAAGCTGGCAAGGAGGAGAAAGCTTCATGCGCTGTCCCATTCCCTAGCAAAATCCCCAAGGTCCCACTGGCCGGCCAATAGGAGCTACGAAATTTTGCTGACGGCAGGGGCAGCAAATAAAGCATCCTCACTCACTCTGTTCCTATGCTGGAGCACAGCCACGTGGAACAGCCCACCCAGCACATAGGCATGGAGTCTACAGAGCTGCTGGCTGGGAGTCACATAGGTAAGTGCCTCCCAGCCAGAGCCTGCCTCTGGCACTCCATCTCTTCCCTCAACTACCTGCCCCAGGCCACCACACAAACCCTTTGTATCCCCTCTACGCACCACCTCCAGGTCACAACTCACTCCCAGACCTCTCCCCCAGGCCATAATCCTCTCCTGCACCCATAACCCCTCCTGAACCCCATTCCTCTGCCCCACATCACCACTCAAATCCTCTGCACCCCCTCCTCTCAGGTCAAAACTCCCTCCCAGATCCTGCACCTCCTCTTACACCCTCCCCCAGGCCAGAATTCTCCCTGCACCCATAACCACCCCTCCTGGACCATGTCCCAGATTATAATCCCTTCCTTCACCCAACTCCCTCTCAGACCCCACATGTCCTCCTTCACCCTAGTTCTCTATCCCAAGCTCCCTTCTACACCCCATCCGGTTGTCCCAGATCCCATAGCCCCTCTGCAGAAGTGTGGCCAGTGACTACTTACCAAAATCTTGGAGTGGCCAACCCATTAAAAATTATTGCCCACCCCTGAGCTATTGTAATTCTTTGAGATCAGAAAGCATGTGGACAAGGGGAATCCAGTGGAAATAGTGTACATAGATTTTCAGAAAGCCCTTTGACAAGGTCCTTCACCAAAGGCTTCTAAGCAAAGAAAACTGTCATGAGTTAAGAGTGAAGGTCCTCTAATGTAGGGAAGGTAACTGCTTAAAAGATAGCAAACAAAGGATAGAAATTAATGGCCAGTTTCTAGAATGGAGAGGGGTAAAATAGCAGTGCCCTGCAAGTGAAATTCACTGTTGATAAATGCAAAGTAATGTACATTGAAAAACACAATCCCAATTATACATATAAAATGATGGGGTATATATTAGTTGTTACCGCTCAAGAAATTACTAACGGGGGGGGAGGGGGCATATAAAATCATGACATGTGAAGAAAGTAAATAAGAAAGCACAAGGAGTAGGGATCACCAAATGAAATTAACAGGCAGCAGGTTTAAAACAAGAAGTATTTTTTGCACAGAACACACAGTCAACCTGAGGAACTCTTTGCCATATGATATGAAAGCCAAGCCTATAAAAGGGATAAAATAAAGTTCCCAGAGGACACCTCCATCAGTGATTATTAGCCAAAAGGGGGAGGGATGGTATCCCTAACCTGTTTGCCAAAAGCTGGCAATGGGCGATAAGGAATGGATCACTTGATTACCTGCTCTGTTCATTCCCTCTCAATCATCTGACATTGGCCACTGTCAGAAGACAAGATGCGCTAGACAGATCATTGGTCTGACCGAGAATGGCCACTCTTACATTCTTATGACTATGTTGTAACACATAATTAAGCCTATGTAATTCTACTACCTATATAGCTCTATAGAAACAGCAACACTTCACTTCTGAAATTCAACCATCTCTGGAGTAGGGATGTTAAATTTCGATTAATCAGCTAATCGAGTAGTCAATGGAATTTCCATCGACTACTCAATTAGTCAATAAGGGGGGCACTCGCTATCCCACTGCGCCTCTCTTGTACATTTCAAATGGAGAGAGGCAGTGGGTTCCTTTGACTCTCTCCCTCTGAAACATTTAAGGGAGAGAGGCAGCAGGGATCCAGTTTACTATGTCTGTCCCAGGTGTCTGACTGGTGGTCTTACCCACATGCTGACAGTCTAAGTGATTACCATATTTGGGATCAGAAAGGAATTTCCTCCCTGGTCAGATTGGCCAAAACCCTAAGTTTCCCTCCCCCTGCATTAAGGGGGCATGGGTCACTTTCAGTTTAAAACAGTGTAAATAGTGGACACTCTGGTAACCTGACATCTTTTAATTATGATTTGAGGACTTCATTAACTCAGCCAGAAATTACAGACCTATGACAGAAGTGGGTAGGTAAAGATTTGTGGCATGCAAAATGCAGGAGGACAAACTAGATGATCCCTCCTGACCTTAAATTCTATGTCCATTGAGATATTTTCCTTCTACAAATTTGGAAATCTGCAGCACAGACATGTGCTAGTATATATGAACAAGTGATAGTGAATCGAAACTGACTAAATAAGAAAGTGAAAGCTAATCTTTAGTATCCAAGTTCAATGGCATCCTAAAAAAAATGAAACGCCATAAATGGTGAATGATAACCATTGTGCTTTGTTTAACACATTCTCTAATCTTCAGCCCCGATATTGGAACAAACTCAGGACTCCCCCCCGACACTAAAGTCAGAGAAACACCATGCGAGTTTGAGGCTGCCCGCATGTAACCATTTGCAGGATCTTGCCCTGAAAACTAAATCATGGTTTGATATTTAGCATCCTTCATGTTTATGAGTCATGGTTTAATAGTGATATTTAGCATCCTTCATGTTTATGATTTTTGTGTTCTTACAAGCATTTCAATCATTTTGTCAACTCTTCAGCAAGACGGAGTTTGTTCAGCACTTAGCAACTGTCTGGAAGAAAACTGCTTATCTTGGATATTAATTCTTTAACAGGTTATTAGAAGCCAGTCAGATATTTTTATTAACTATATTAATTTTATAGTAGTGTGCTTTTAATTTTTCCAGTAAGAAATGGATTTTAAATTTAGGTCAGTTATTTTAAACTAATCTACTTAAGTGTATCATGTATCATCTTTAGAGTGAGCAGGCAGGCAGTTTACCTCTTTCAATAGTGATTACATATTGGCCTAATTACATATTGGCCACTTCTGAGCTACAAACAGAAACAAGTAGCAGTGGTAGCACTGAACTGAAGTTCAGGCATGAAGGACAAATAAACCCTTGCCAGTTGAAGATAATTCTGCAGCTAACATAGAAGACAACGACACAGAAATCATTACTATACCCTGGTTGTGTGCCAGGGATTCTGCGGTTTCATGGGGCCCCACAGAGTTCTGCATGCGCTGAACCCGAGAGTCCCTGGAGCCGCGTCCCCACCAGGGCTGTTTCCGCCTCTGCTTGTAGAACACATACAAGAATCCGATCCCTGCTGCTGCTCCCAGCAGCAACCCAAGCCCCGCACGGGACACCCGCAGTTTGGACATCATGTGCCTGAAAAAAGCAGAGAGGATACAAGTCACATGAACGCGTCTCCGCCTCCCCCCCTTCAGCACCACGGAGGGCAGTCAGGCGAGCCCCCTCCGCGGGGCGGGGGCAAGGCTGGAGCTGGAAGCCTCCCAGCCCAGCCCTCACCTGGGCAGCTGAGCGAGCAGCCCCCGAGTCCCGGCGCGTCCGAGGGGCCGGGTGGGAAGGAGCGCGCCTCGGTCCCCCGCCTCCCAGCAGCCCGGGGCTCTCACCCGCGCACGCGCCGCCCCAGCGGCCGCGGACTCAGCTAAAGTCCGGACGCTTATCGCCCGCGCAGAGCTACTCACAGCGCCATGCCCCGAGCGGCAGCACGCGCCCCTCCCCCGGCCCGAGAGCCACCCTACCGCCGGCGCATAGAGATGACGTATGAAGGACCCCACCCCCTTCCTGCCCTTAGCAACGCCCAAAGTACTGGCGATGGGGCGATGTCATTAGGCCCCCCCCACGCCCAATGCTGGGCCGCAGCGGGCGCGAGGCGCGAGTAGAGTCCGGAGCGCGTTCTCTGCCCTTGGGCCAAGGACACGTGCTCCGAGGAGCCAGTGAACGCGGGTCAAGGTGTAGGGCGGGGGCGAGGCTCAAAGTGACGCTCCGAGGGTTGCTAGGCTGCCCTGTGAGCTCATTGCCCAGCCCGCTGCTGCATCCCGCTTTGCACCTTTACGGGCCAGCCTCTGGCCCCCGGGCTCACGCGCAGCCTCCGGGTCTCTGCCCTTGGGCCAAGGACACGTGCTCCGAGGAGCCAGTGAACGCGGGTCAAGGTGTAGGGCGGGGGCGAGGCTCAAAGTGACGCTCCGAGGGTTGCTAGGCTGCCCTGTGAGCTCATTGCCCAGCCCGCTGCTGCATCCCGCTTTGCACCTTTACGGGCCAGCCTCTGGCCCCCGGGCTCACGCGCAGCCTCCGGGCGTCACCTGGTGCTGTGCTGGGTGCGGGGCCTCGCCGACCTCACTACCCCTGCAAGTGCGGGAGCTAGCTGCTGGGTTCCTTCAGCGGGGGCGCTTGTCATTGGGTAGGTGCTGGGCGGGTTTGAGTGGCCAAGGAGTCAGGGCACCTGGAAGAAAAACAAAATAAATGAGTGTCAGGAGGAGCTGTAGGGAAGAGCCGTTCTGAGCAGTCGTGGTGCCTGATGCCCCTTCTAGCAGCCTCTAGCCTTCAACTTCCCATGAACTCTTTTGACTGGGGCTCTGTAGCTGATTTACACACATGTAGGCTATGCCTACACTGTACCTTATTTCAAAATAACTCATTTCAAAATAACAGCACATGTCTACACAACAAGCCGGTTATTTCAAAATAATTTTGAAATAACAGGCTTTACTCCAACTTCTGTAACCCTCCTTTTACAAGGAGTAAGGGAAGCCAAAGGGAGAGTGTTCCTCTTTCGACTTCCTGATGCATGGACAGTGACAAAAGCCAAATTCAGCTACTTTGGACTTCAGCCAAGCAATTAACATAGCTGAAGTTGCATATCTTAACTCTACTTTGTCTTGCAGTGTAGACATGCCCAAAGATGGGACCCAAAGGTATTTAAGCTCCTAACATCCAGCTGATTCGATGGAAAGCAGGCACCTAAATTACCTGTGAGAATCTGGGCCCTAGAGCCTAGGGGAATTTCAGGTCTGCTAATTCAACTGTTCTGTAGTGTCAATAATGAGGTCCAAAGTATAAAGCCTCCAGAAGACCAGGCCCTACGAGGCTTCACAGCCCAGTGTCCAACCCTCTTTATTGTAGAGACAACTGACAAAAACAAGTAGAACACTGTTTTTTCCCCCCAAGCAGGAAGACCCTTCAATAATTTCATTTTGTAGTGATCATTAAAGTGACATGTGGACTGCTAATGGCTTTATTGGTTATGTCACAGCGGTAGAGAGGACCCAAGATTTCAAAACCTCCTCTAATACAAGTTTGGAACATTCAGACACACAGCTTACTGTTCATCTAAGTTAAATTTCTCTTCCTTAAAACAACTTTTGGCTTTCCACTGTATTCAGGGGATATTGGGTAAAGAAAAAAGACACTTCTTGAAGCTCTAAGCTGTCCCACTATCTTGTGCTGGGATCTGCTCTTAGCCTTTCAGACTGCACTTGTAACGAAGTTTTTGGTGAATGTTCTCGTAATACGTATTCCAATAAAACTCTGACATTGAATGGAATGAGGGCATTCCATTTCCTCAGACTCTAATTATTATTTGCAGTTTTGTTGTTATCAGAAAAGCAATAACAGGCTCAAGGCAGCATGCGTTTGAATTCATATCCCCAAACTATATTAAAGATGATATCTGAGAATCATGCCACAGCTTTGATTGTAACTCTGTTTTCTTGTGCTGCAGACCCCAGCCTTTTTGAAAGAAATAAAAACAGTCATCTTGAAAGAAACAAACTATTAATTTGGTAGATGCTTCCTCAACCCCTTTGTTCTTTCCCTTTAACTCCTTACTCCAATGGAAAGCTGCCTTATTTTGGTAGTCAGGGTATACTGAATCATAGAGCCAGAAATTGTATCATCCATTCCATCTCTGCCATTGCATTACTGCTCCCCTACTCTATACTATACACAGGGGCAACGTCTACACTGCAGAACTTTTTGCGGAAGACATCATCTACACTGCCATGTGCTTTTGCGCAAGAGATGTGCTTTTGCGAAAGAGAGCGTCCACACTGCCATGGACGCTCTTGCGCAAGAAAGCTCTGATGGCCGTTCTGTGAAAGGTTATCAGAGCACCTGTGTTTTTTCTTGTGCAAGAAACCCCTGTTATCCATCCACAAAATGGCTGTTTTTGTGCAAAAACTGCGCAGTGTAGACGTAGCCTTATAGTGTCCTGTGCAGTCTAGTTTAAAAGTATCTAAGCAATGAGGACTCTACCTCATCTAAGCAATGAAGCCTCTACCAATTCTCTTGGAAGACTATTCTGGAGTTTATTAGATCTCACTATCAGGAAGATTGTTTTTTTTCTGAAATACGTCTTTGTTTCACACAAAATATTTCTCCCATCTTGGTACAGGCAGTCCCCGGGTTACGTACAAGATAGGGACTGTAGGTTTGTTCTTAAGTTGAATCTGTATGTAAGTCGGAACTGGCGTCCAGATACAGCCGCTGCTGAAACTGACCAGCGGCTGTGACTTACATACAGATTCAACTTAAGAACACCAAGATTCC